AATAATAATGATGATGATGTTGGAAGGGACCTTGGAGGTCATCTAGTCCAACCCCCTGCTCAGGCAGGAAACCCTATACCATTTCGGACAAATGGCTGTCCAGTCTCTTCTTAAAAACCTCCAGTGTTGGAGCATTCACTGCTTGTGAAGGCAGGTTTTTCCACTGGTTAATTGTTCTAACTGTCAGGAAGTTTCTCCTTAGTTCTAGGTTGCTTCTCTCTTTGGTTAGTTTCCATCCATTGCTTCTTGTCCTGCCTTCAGGCGCTTTGGAGAATAGCTTGACTCCCTCTTCTTTGGGGCAGCCCCTGAGATACTGGAAGACTGCTATCATGTCCCCCCTTGTCCTTCTCTTCGTTAAAGTAAACATACCCAATTCCAGCAACCGTTCCTCATGTTTTAGCCTCCAGTCCCCTAATCATCTTTGTTGCTCTTCTCTGTACTTTTTCTAGAGTCTCAACATCTTTTTTGCATCGTGGTGACCAAAACTGGATGCAGTATTCCAAGCTATCTCACAAGGCTGACAACCACAGAGACCCACTGAATGACTTATGGCCAAGTCAATCTCACATAGCACAACCTACCAAGCAGATTGATTGTTATAGAGATAGAAAAGAAAGGAGATGCCTATATATAAGTTATGCTGAGCTCCTGGGGGGACAGGCAGGATATAAATCTCGCGAAGTATACATAGCTTACCTACCAGGATTAAGCAGTTGATGTACATTTTCACACTGGCTAGCTTCACATATTTTACAAATCTATGATTTGTCCAATAAGCCACAGTTGATAGCATTTATGCCACACCAGAGATGCGCAATTCTGACAGGACACAAATCGTAAATGCTAAGCCATAAATCATAGCTGATAAATCCCAATGGTGAGGTTTATCCATTACTTTTAACCAGGGTTTCTTGTATAAGTCTTGATTAGCTCACTTCATGCAACATGATAAGTCATAAATCATAGTTCACAAGCCCCAATGGACGGGCTCACTCAATATTTTAAGACAAAAATCAAATTATGGCTCAAGAGTGATGCATGAGCCTAGTCAATGAATGCAAAGGGGGAAACCTTGCATCAGATCCACGGCTTAGATCACTACCTAAGAAATGTAACTTTTTTCCCCACTTTCTAAGAACAGCAGCATCAATGGGCAAGGTCTGCATTTGCCCTACTGTATTTCCCCAAAAATAAGACTTATATTAAGTTTTGCTCCAAAAGACGCATCAGGGCTTCTTTTCCAGTTAGGGCATATATTCAGGGAAATACGGTACTAAATGCACTCATCTGGTTGACAGTCTTAACTGGGGCTTATTTTGGAGGGGGGCTTATATTACAAGCATCCTGAAAAATCATGCTAGGGCTTCTTTTCCAGTTGGGTCTTATTTTTAGGGAAACACAGTATTTTCACACTTGCTAAGAATTTCTCTTCCTTTTTAAAAGAAGGGCACCCAGTATTTTAAATGCCTGAGTTTTGAAAAGAAAAGGGTCTGTGTCTTAACATGATTTCTAAACAGTTAAAAAGCCCTGGTGGCCCAGTGGTTAAAGTGAGTATTGCAGATAAATTCTGCCCACAGCCTGGAATTCGATCCTGACGGGGCTCAAAGTTGACTCAGCCTTCCATCCTTCTGAGATCGGTAAAATGAGGACCCAGTAAAAAAGATGTTGAGACTCTAGAAAGAGTACAGAGAAGAGCAACAAAGATGATCAGGGGACTGGAGGCTAAAACATATAAGGAAAGGTTGCTGGAATTGGGTATGTCTAGTTTAACGAAGAGAAGGACGAGGGGGGACATGATAGCAGTGCTCCAATATCTCAGGGGCTGCCCCAAAGAAGAGGGAGTCAGGCTATTCTCCAAGGCGCCTGAAGGCAGGACAAAAAGCAACGGGTGGAAACTAACCAAAAAGAGAAGCAACCTAGAACTAAGGAGAAACTTCCTGACAGTTAGAACAATTAACTATTGTTAGAACAGAAACTATTTATTATTGTGGTTTTTAGTATCGCCTGTTCACCGCCCTGAGTCCCGTAAGGGAGATAGGGCGGTATATAAATTTAATAAATAATAAAAAAATAACCAGTGGAACAATCTGCCTCCAGAAGCGGTGAATGCGCCAACACTGGAAGTTTTTAAGAAGAAACTGGACAGCCATTTGTCCGAAATGATATAGGGTTTCCTGCCTGAGCAGGAGGTTGGACTAGATGACCTCCGAGGTCCCTTCCAACTTTTTTATTATTGTTGTTGTTGTTGTTGTTGTTGTTGTTGTTGTTATTATTATTATTATTATTATTATTATTATTATTATTATTATTAACACAAATAATGCTTCTATATTATTTTCATATTGCATACCACTGTTAACTGTCCAGAGAGTGCTGTGAAGCGCTAGGGGGGCGGTATATAAGCCTAAATGCTAGTGCTGTTCTGAAAGCATAACTGGATCTTCTGTTTACAAGACCAAGCAGGGAACTCCAGGTTTACCCGTGAAATGCTCAGCGATCCAAATCTTTTCGCTGGTGCGGTTTCCGAGATCTACCATCCACGCCCCGTAACTCTGCTTCAGTTTGACGATCTCTTCGGGCTTCCCAATAGACTCAATCATGTTTTCTAACAGGAGAAGAGAAGAGTCAGGGCAAGAGAGAGAGCAGGCGGTAGGCACCAAGAACTTTTCAAGAGGGATTTGGAATGAACTACTGTACCGCGTTTTCTGCGCTGATGGAGATGGGCTCTCTCTTTGGCTTTCCCGGCGAGGGTATCGTCATTTGGAATGCTGCAGGCCTCCCCTAAAACAGGAGGGGCAGGAGAGAGAGAGAGGCAGAGACTGCAGCTGAACTTTCCCCCCCTCCCCAAAAAAAGGCATTTCTTCGTGATGCTAAAACATGATTTATTTACAATGTTTTCTTTACCTCCAACCTTCCAGGTTTAAAAACTTGACATCTTTTATCAATGTTAATTGCTGATGATAGTCTATCTCAGGGGTCTTCAAACTTGGCAACTTTAAGACTTGTGGACTTCAACTCCCAGAATTCCACAAGTTGAAGTCCACAAGTCTTAAAGTTACCAAGTTTGAAGACCCCTGGTATATCTAATGCCTTTTTATACCACTCCTTATCACATCCACTTTGGGAGCTGATCCAGAGAATGAATTCCAGGTTCCAACCTCAACGTGGCCAAAATCTGTGGAGGGACACATTCTGGCCTATTTTGATGGTTATTTAGGAGTTCAAGGGTCCTTAGGTTACTACTGGTAGTCTGGAGGCGAAAGCTGATGGGCTGTGCACACACAATATACCAACGCCAATCGTGTCTCATCTCACAATCCAAAGGTTAAAGACTCCTGTTTACTCTTTCACCATATGAAGAGGTGAGAATTTCTTTTTCCTCGTTACACAGCCCTAGAAACATGTGCTTATGGCAGATCTGGGAGTCTAGAAGGGAGTGATATTTCTCTTTCAACAGTTCCTTTTCCTAGGAGGGCAGACCAAGGTTTTTATCTTTTTGTTTGGAAGAGTCAAGGCCCAAACTATCATTTGTGATGAGGACAGGAACAGGATTTGTGACTCGCCGTAACCTTTAACGAAAAGAAGCAGAAAAATCGAAGGCCATCCATGTTTCCATTGGAAATCCTCCAAGCCCTAGAGATCAGTAAGCCCACGGATCTCAAACCAGAAGCAAACATCAGTCTTAGATAAGCTTTCCCACCCCACATGCCACCTTGAGTTCAGGGTGAAGAAGCCGTGTTGTTTCAAGGAAGGCTCCCTGAATCCTACTGCAGCTACTTCACGGTACACAGCATTCTCTCCTTGTAAAGGAGCAGAACAGCGTGTAGATATGTTCTCCTTGAGCACTGGAATCCCTGCTTCTGTAGAAGAAAATTGTCAAGTAGTCCCCTTCTCACAAAGCAGACTTTGAAGCACCCTTAGGTGTTGTGTGAGGTTGCTCTAAGTGTCAGCTCTTGTACTATCATCCAGACCTCCCTGGTTCCCCATTAAAATTGTTCTTCAGCCTAAAGGGATGGCTACATCCAATTCTGGGTGGGCAGATAAGATTCTTTCATTCTCACAAGTGAGGCTGGAGGTTCAGCCCAAACAGACGTCTACTGCTGGTGCTCTAGCTTAGTTCAGACCCCTTCAAAGTAGGAGAAAAGTTAGTTTGTGCAATCACAATTCTCTCACATCCTACTTCTGGTCTTCTCTGTCTTCGAAACTGGGTAGCTTCAAGCAAAAGAGGAAGAATTAGGGAAGAGCTGCTTTGAACCAAGGTAGATCATTCAGCCACACCCCTCAGTAGCCCCATCTTAACAGCAGCTCTCACCCCAAAATGTTGTCCAACCCCTTCTTGGAGATCTCAAGGTTGAACCTGAGAGCATTTACTCATAAAGCCTGAGCTGGACCATTCACTAATGGGCTTTCCCTTCCATCAAATCAGATTCTCCAGAGTTCCATGCAAGGGTTTGTCCAGCTTATCCTGGAACTTGTCCCTGGAGACAAAACTCTGTGCTCTGTTGCTCAGTTTCTGGGCTTAGAGATGGATTTAAGCATCGCTCTAGGTTCAATTGAGTACTGACAAATCAAGGCTTGCCTTGCAAATGACTGCTCAAGTCCCTATCCATCCTCAATTATCTTCTCCTCCATCACATAAGATAAGGCAGAAGCTAGACACAGCAGGAGATGGAACCAGTAGGGCGCCAGCTCCATGGTGAGCTAATCAGGCAGCCTCCAAAATAGTACATAGAGGAGAGGGTGAAAGCAAGATTCCCCCCCCCTCAGCATCCTTGAAATGGCACGTTCTGTTCCAAGCATTGGAAGAGGGCCACGTACCCACTTCACAGGCTTGTTAGAAAATAAGCAGGGGGCCACCTTCAGAAAAAAAACAAAAAAAGGTGAGACCCACCAAACATAGCAGAATTAAATTCAGTTTTTTTAGGGGGAGTGGGGTGGAGAGGAGGGTGGAGATACTTCACTGGAGCTACCTAAGGAATGATCCAGACATAGAAAGAGCAGGAGAACTTAGTCAAAGCCTGGAAGGAGAAATAGCTCAAGGGGTTCATTTGCTCTGCCCTGAAGAGCAAATAGTAGATCATCTGAACTTTGAATCAGAAACGAAACGGAGAGGAAAAAGCAGCAGGTGACCTGTAGTTAGCATCCAGAAACGCTCACCTGTGCATTCGGTGTTGTAGATCTTCTCCTCCTGGGACTTGGCTTTACGTTTTCCTGAAGTTCCTGGTGGTCCTGGTGGTCCCTGAGGTCCTGGAGGACCAGGAGGTCCTGGAGGACCAGGATCACCTTTCTCACCTAGAAGCACCGATGAAAAAAAGACGAGAAAAAAATGACTTTTTCTGAGCGGACGCTCAGCAAACTTTGGAGGCTTTGCTTGTTGCGAGAATCATCTCCTTTCCCTCCGTCCAGAATTCATCAGAATCCAGAGGCTGTCCGCATGAATAACAACAGTGTGGACCTCTCCACCACCATTAGGTCAGCTTCAGATCATCTCTGCTGCCACATGAGTTATCTGAAAGCAGTGGACTCTAGGGCAGTGGTGGCGAACCTATGGCACAGGTGCCAGAGGCGGCACTCAGAGCCCTCTCTGTGGGCACACGCACCGTCTCCCCTGGCCTATTTCACATATCCGGCTTGATGGACTCTGGGGGAAGGGTTTCGGCAGGCTCTTCCAGTGGACTATTTATTTATTTATTTATTTATTTAACTTATATGCCGCCCTTCTCCCCATGGGACTCAGGGCGGCTCACAGCATATTAAAAACAATACAAAACATTTCCCCTGTAAAAGCCAATTAGAAACCAAATATTTATAGCTGTGTCTTATTAAAATCATTAAAATTGTCCCTATTTAAAAATTCACCCTAGGTCAGTCCCGCTTGCTGAAAAAGCCATGTCTTGAGGGCGCGGCGGAAGGTTAGGAGATCCGGAATCGTCCGGATCTCGGGGGGTAGTTCGTTCCAGAGGGTGGGGGCACCCACAGAGAAGGCCCTCCCCCTGGGGGTCGCCAGCCGACATTGCTTGGCCGCCGGCACCCTGAGGAGGCCCGCTCTGTGGGAGCGTACCGGTCTGTGGGAGGGAATCTGTGGCAAGACTATGCCTTGGCGCTTGCCCCGGTCCCACCCCCTTCTGCCAGAGACCCTCAGATCTGTCCCACTCCTGTCCAGGCCCCCACAGGCACCCTTGACACAAATGATGTAGAACTGGTCACGCCCACCCAGTAGGCCACACCCACTCCAGCCACGCCCACCCTGGTCAAACCTACCCGGGCCCCCCAAGGACAACCGCAATGCTGATGTGGCCCTCAATGAAATTGAGTTTGACACCCCTGTTTCAAATGGATCCACCCTTCAGAACTGAGTCTTTAAGTGACAGTGCGAAAGAACCTTCTAGCACAGGGGTGTCAAACTCGCCGCGTCACATGATGTGTCACGACGTATGGTGAATTTCTTTCCCCTTGCCAGAGCTGGGGTGGATGTGGCTTCCACGTGACACATCCGGCCCGTGGGCCAGCAGTTTGACACCCCTGTTCTAGCATGTTTGTGCCCAACCCATGCTCATCCCCAAGCATCAGAGTCACTTGGTTGAGTTGGGTGGCTATAGAAATTGAATAAATAAACAAATATTTTTTTAAAAAAAAAATCTTGGCTAGACACAATGAAGAACAAGCCTTCCCCACCCTGATGTCTTCCAGATGTGTTTCAATTACATCCTCTGAAGTCAGCACATCTGGAAGGCATCAACTTGGAAAAGGTTGGTTTCCAACTCAACCACCCTTATGCTTTCTTTAGACCACAATTTCATCTTACCTTCTGAAGCCAGTTCGTTGTTTGCTTCTCCTTTGTCACCTTTGGGCCCTCTGGAGCCCTTTTCCCCTCGTCCCCCCTCATTTCCAGGTGCGCCAATTTCACCAGGATCTCCTTTTTCACCCTTCTCTCCAGGGTCGCCCTTAGGTCCTGGAAAACACAGGAGAACATTAAACGCCGCAAGAGAGAGGCAGCCGAGAATAAATGCAATCCCAAGGCCTGGAGGAGATGTTTACATAGACCCATAAAGGAGACATGAATTCAACCCCACCCAGCTTGCTCTGAGAGTATTCATTTATTTATTTGTTTGTTTATGGTCAAGACCAAGTTACAGAATTTTTAAAAATGGCATCCCATTAATACATATGTACGTAACAATATATACCGTACATGTACAAAAGGAAGAAACCCAATGAAATTAATGATTCCTTGAAGGTGTCTATGGAGATTCTCAATCATCCAGGTCATGGTTGTCCCAAAGGTGCTTTTTCCAAAAGGCAACTGGACTTTCTTGGTTTTTCCCTTGAAAACGTTTTTCTTCTCATCCAAGAAGCTTCTTCAGAACTGACGAAACATCTTAGATGAGAAGCAAAATGTTTTCAAAGAAGAAAAACCAAGAAAGTCTTGTTGCCTTTTGGAAAAAGTACCTTTGGGGTTCCTTGAAGGCATCAAAGGGCTTCTGTAAGCTAAGGCTACCCATAAAAAATTTGCTACTGCCTTGAAAACACCCAGGTGTTGATCACTCAAACTCCTCATCACAAGGAGCACATATTCAACATCCAATGCTATGACTAAACCAGATTCCAACTAAGTTGCATCTCATTCAAGGCCCAGGCAAAATTATGTTGGCTGAGATACTAGATCATTTGAGGAACCTCATTATTTCAGAGTCACTTAGGTGAGATGGACGGTGTACAAATGGAAGGGAGGGAGGGAGGGAGGGAGGGAGGGAGGGAGGGAGGAAGGAAGGAAGGAAGGAAGGAAGGAAGGAAGGAAGGAAGGAAGGAAGGAAGGAAGGAAGGAAGGAAGAAATCTAATTCCATACAATGCAACAATCTAGTCTGAAAATACAAATAGACCAAGATCTGAGACATTGTGGGTTGTCAATATCAGCTCTACTTAAGCCTAGGGGGAAAAAATCAAATCACCAGATTTAATTTGCCTGAAGCGCCTCAATGGCTCCGTGGATTAAGCTGGAGCAGAGAATTTAGATCAACTTCATCACTCATGTTTCGTGAGTATACCTGTTTTCCCTCTTTTTCCTGGTTCTCCCCTTTCTCCAGGAATACCAGGAGCACCATCAGATCCATTCAAACCAGGCAATCCATCAATTCCAGGGGGACCTGATGAAGTCAAAGAATATTTTTTTAATGTTTTGTCTCTTCCCAGAAGAAAATCAGACGCTGAAAGACAGAAAGAGTTATTTCCAAGTGAAGATTCTCACAGGATCATGTTAGGGCTTCACAAATAATGATCAGAGGGGAGGCGCAGGAGGAAAGGACCCATTTCTCCATCACCACCAAGGTCATCTGAACAGGTTATTGGCCCCCAATCATCTGGTTATTGTATCAGGCTAAGCCATGGTTTGTTACATTGCATAAACTCATCGGATTCACATGTGGAGCACATCAAACCATCAACCATGGTTCAGAAGTGGTAAGGCTTCGACTTACACCAAACCAAAAGCAAGTTTAGTCACGATCAAACCCAACCATGGTTCAGTAACATTATTCTTATTTTTGTTTCAGTAATTCTACTAACTTTAAGGTGTTAGTTACCACCTTTAAAGCGCTCCATGGCATAGGACCTGGCTATCTCCGAGACCGCCTTCTGCCGCAGATTCCCTCCCATAGACCGGTACGCTCCCACAGAGCGGGCCTCCTCAGGGTGCCGGCGGCCAAGCAATGTAGGCTGGCGACCCCCAGGGGGAGGGCCTTCTCTGTGGGTGCCCCCACCCTCTGGAACGAACTACCCCCCGAGATCCGGACGATTCCGGATCTCCTATCTTTTCGCCGCGCCCTCAAGACATGGCTTTTCCAGCAAGCGGGTCTGGCCTAGGGAGAATTTTAAATAGGGAAAATTTTAATTATTATTTTAATATGACACAGCGGTAAATATTTGTTTTTAATTGGTTTTTATTGGGGATAATGTTTTGTACTGTTTTTTAATATGCTGTGAGCCGCCCTGAGTCCTGTGGGGAGAAGGGCGGCATATAAGTTTGATAAATAAATAAATAAATAAATAAATAAATAAACCATGGTTCAGCAATGGTAAGGCTTTGATTCACACTAAACCAAAAGCAAGTTTAGTCACGATCAAACCCAACCATGGTTCAGTAACATTATTCTTATTTTTGTTTCAGTAATTCTACTAACATCCAAGGCTCATTCTGGAGCTCCAAGTGGCCAACTCTAGCAAATTTCCAGTTGGAAATTCAGCAAAGGGGAAATACGAGAGGAATGAGAAACAGGAGGAGGACTTTAATACGGTGGGGGGTTTTTTTTTCAGTAAGACCAAGACAATAGAGCCAGAAAAGAAAATATATATTACCTGGTAATCCCGGTGGACCTAAATAGAGAATAAAACAAAGAATTACAAATAAAGACTAAGCGTAAGGTAAAGGTAAAAGGCAAAGGTTTCCTCTGTCCAGTTGTGTCTGACTCTAGGGGGCAGAGCCAGCATTGTCCGAAGTCGCTTTCCACAGTCATGTGGCCAGCATGGCTATATGCCAGAGATACATGGAATGCTGTTCCTTTCCCACCGATTTATCTATTCGCATTTGCATGCTTTCAAACTGCTGGATTTGCAGGAGCTGGAGCAAGGAACAGGAACTCACCCCATCCCGTGGCACTCAGATCTCAAACCTTTCCAGCTGACAAGCTCAGCATCTTTAACCGCTGAGCCATTGCTTAGCTTAATACTAAACCAAGAATGCAGGGCTTGGATGTAGGACTATGCCAACATCTTAACAGAAAACAAGAGAAATATTTTAATCAGCACAACCAGGTTCAAGAACCACTTAAACACTGGGTACACCTTACCCACTCAAGCTAAGAACATAGTGTTAACTACCTTTGAAAGAGATCGGGATGGGGCACAGCATATGTCCAAGGAAAATTCATTCTTTCCTCCCAGACCGTCATCACTGACATTCTTACCTGTTAAACACACTCCTTTTGTGCTGTTGCACAACTCGAGCATTACCCGGACCTAAAAGAAGAAGACGTTTCAAAGGTCACCTTTGAAGGACTTGTACTTTGCATTAGAAATTTTAGAGAATTTAAATTTGGATTCCTAACACTGAAATAATTTTAACAGTTGTAGATCTGGGGTTGTAATCTTGTCTCGCTCCTGTTTTGTACCTTTTTGGGTGAAGAAAGAAAAGAGTATAAATAACATAAAGAATGGCTGTCAGGTTACAGCACTGTTCAGATTTTCAGTAGAAAATTCCTGCTCAGATAGACACGTGCCCACATTTAATGCATTTCATCTTGATTTTAATTCCCAGCAAGCACAGTTTAAGATTTTTGTGAGCCTAAAGCTCTGGCAAGCTTCTGATTGTAGAGTTTCTGCATTGTGCTGACAATGAGGAAAAATGGTTTCTAAAATCGTATTTTTTTTCCCATTCATGGCCACCCCATATGATCGTTCGAGACCTTCAGGAAGGGAACAAGACCAATGGAACAACCTGCCTCCAGAAGCGGTGAATGCTCCAACACTGGAAGTTTTTAAGAAGAGACTGGATGGCCATTTGTCCAAAATGGTGTAGGGTTTCCTGCCTGAGCAGGGGGTTGGACTCGATGACCTCCAAGGTCCCTTCCAACTTTATTATTATTATTATTATTATAAGACTGTTCTGTGCAAACAATATTGCTTACACTTAGAGAAAATGCAATGTCTCAAAGGATGACGAACGGAGCCTGTGTTCCAAGACGTGACCCAGACTAACTTTCAAAGTGAGGCCACGGGTTGATCTTCCCCTATGAGGCCATGGTGGAGAGACCAGGCAAAGAAAGTAAGATTGTTTTAAAAGCAGTCATTAGTGATTAGGGACGGACAATCTACTTCCCATACTCTGTCCAGCCCAAGCGTATAAAATATATCAACTTTCCAGTGTTGTGACTTGTGTTGTTGTGAAACATGACATTCTGTAATCTCCAACCTAAGCCCTTCTTTGCCACTGCAAGTTGCAACCTAGAGAGGAATAGAAGAACAGAGGTCCCTAATGTTGATTGGTAAAGCTTGCAACCTAGAGAGGAACAGAAGAACAGAGGTCCCTAATGTTGATTGGTAAAGCTTGCAACCTAGAGAGGAACAGAAGAACAGAGGTCCCTAATATTGATTGGTAAAGCTTGCAACCTAGAGAGGAACAGAAGAACAGAGGTCCCTAATGCTGACTGGTGGAGTTGTAAAGGATGTTATGATAGGGAAGTGGTCCTTCAAATATTTGGAGCTCAAGTTGGGTTTGAAAGATAATAATCAATAACTTGCAAAGACTCAGTATTCCTTCAGAATTAGTATGAAGGAATTCCTTCAAGAATTCCTAGAATGAAACCACCCAGACCTTCTCCATAGGTGCCTCTATGTGTATGGACGTCAATTGCCAGAATTCACCAGTCACAGCCTCACCTGATTCAAGTAATATTGAGAAATAACATTGGGTATCCTCAACATAATGAGACACCCTGGTTCATATCCAAAAGTGACTGAACCAGCACATTCATCTCAGTCACGAATACACCACCTGTTTCTTCAGGATCACCTCTATAATCCAGCACCAAAGCCTTGGATATGAATCCTTCGACCAATGTTTCTCAACCTTGGCAATTTTGAGTTGTGTGGAAATCAACTCCCAGAATCCCTCAGCCAGCAAGATTGTAAGAATTTAAGTCTACACTTCTTAAAGTTGTCAAGGTTGAGAAACGCTGCCTTAAATCCTTTCAAAAGATGCTGCCACTGGTACCTGGCTACGGTTGCATGAGATCATGAATGTACAAGGTACAATCATATAAATGCATTTAACTGGACCTGAATATAGATTAAAGCTTGTTTATCCCTGGCTTCATCCATTTCTTTGTCCTGTCTCTGCTCACTTTTGAGTCTGGCCCAGTGTGAAGCATTCAAAGGCCAAAAATGGACTCCACCTTGAAAAAGTTACCCATCTTCATGTAGATCTCCCAACTTGGAAGCTTGTAGGACCATACAGCTTCAATGCTGTTCAACTAAGGAGGCACCCATCTGCGAGCAACAGGTAAGAATGGAATATTAGCCTCCTTGAACTCCAATTCTCCACCCACGGAGAAGACAATATAGTGTGATTGAGAAAAATCAAAACTGGCTGAAAAATTAGCAGGGGAAAAAAAAGCAGTGGGGTCCTTCAATATTGGTCATTCATGGAGAGCCCAAAACCTGTTTCAGAATCTTGGACTGTGGGCACCTTAGAACAAAAACAATCATGCATTAATGCAAGCTTGATTCGGTGAATAAGAAAAGTGAATGGCAACAGCCTGGATGAACGTCAAATCCCCCAAATGTCCGACGTGTTCCTTCTGCTCTGCGCCCTGGGTTTTTCGCTTGATCAACAATGGTTTAATCATACCGATTTTGGTGTTTATTTTTGTTTCATAGTCCACCCTCATCCAGTCTCAAAGCATGCCTGATTGTGAAGATAGGGACACCTTTTGCCTCTCTTCCCCACACAGCAAGGTTTAAAGAGAGATTAATTGCTCAGTTATTGCACCCAAAAAAAGACAGCGAGGAAGCTATGAGTCATTAAGAGAAAAAGCAAAGAGGTGGAGGCAGAAATTGCATCTTCTTGCATTATTTTGGCAGAGACAACCAAGTCAGAAAAGGCCCCTAATTTTTCTTTCTTCGGGTGTTTATCTCCGTCCGAAGATCCAGCCCCCAAACTGCTATTGAAAACACAATATTGAAAATGTGAGAGGCAAGCTTTATTCTATGATCCCCTTGCTCTATGATAAAGCACAGTGTAGAGCAGTGATGGCGAACCTTTTAGAGACCGAGTGCCCAAACTGCAACCCACAACCCACTTATTTATCGCCGGGTGCCAGGTGGGCATGACCCACTGGGTGGGCGTGGCTGTGGTGGTCATGGCAGACTGGGTGGGTGTGGTCAAGGTGGATGTGGTCACCTCGATGTTGCTCGTGGGGAGGGATGCCTGTGGGGGCTGGGCAGGGTTGGGGGAGATCCAGGGGGTCTCTGGCAGGTGAGGCGATGGGCAAGAGGCTCGTCCTGTGGGGTGGGGCGAGGCAAGGCGAGGCGAGGCAGGGGCCTGGGCGGCTGCTGCCTGACACCATCGGCCAGTGAGCGCACGGGGCCGACAGTGTCCGTCAGCAGCCACAGCCTGCCGGCCCCTCAACCGGTGCACTCTGGGATTCTGCAGCCCGCCACCAGCAATTCAGAGAAGCCACCTTTGAGCTGGACGGCTGGCCGACAGCTGAGGAGGCCATGCAGTGGGTTGTGCCTGGGAAAAGGAGAGCATGCGAGGCCAGGAGGGATGGGACTGGAGGGAGGGAAACCAGCCATGCTGGGACGCATCCGACCATGTGGGACCTCAGCGAGTTAGCGGGCAGCTGGTTGAAGAGGGACGGGGCATGGCCCGTGTGCCCACAGAGAGGGCTCTGAGTGCCGCCTCTGGCACGCGTGCCATAGGTTTGCCACCACTGGCATAGAGCTAAACATGCAAAACCTAAAACAGGATTGCAAGGGATGTCTCTTTTCCACCAAACTCAATCCACAGCCTGCATAGACTCATCTATGCAGCTTGCTTAGAAATGATATGGAAGGGGGGGAGGGGAAAGGATATCACTGCCTCTGAGATTATTTTTCTCCGTTCACAACAAGGTAAAGTCACAGCTGCCAGTTCTTCAGCTGGTGTTGGCCTTCATTGAGTTCCTCCCAAGAACCTAAAGTATTGGTGTAGTAGACATATGGATTCCAGCAGTGGGCCATTTGGCCATTGGGAGGTGGAAATTTTTGTCAACGCACAGATTTTCTAAGGGCCTTCTAAGACAGGGGTGTCCAATCTTGGCAACTTTAAGACCTGTGGACTTCATGGCTGGCTGGGGGAATCCTGGTTAGTTGAAGTCCACAAGTCTTAAAGTTGCCAAGGTTGGACGCCCTTTCTCTAAGATATTTTTAGTATGGCACCCACTATGTCAATAACCACTGGGACACCATGGTGGATTCATGCCATAATCTTTCCATTTCAGTTCAGATCTTGATACGTTGTGATCTTCTCCAATTCTTTGTCTTCGATTCTACTATCCTCTAGTATTGCCAAGGTTAGAAGGATTTTCTCCATGACAATCTCACCTGGTCCTTCAGCTCTTCCATTGTGCTGAGTCTTGCTGCTGGACATCCTCTTCTTTTCTTTCCCGCCATCTTCCCCACTAGTAGAGCCTTCTCCAGAGACTTGGGTCTTTGAATACTATGTTCGTAATATGAAGATTTGAGCCCGTTCATTTGTCTCTTGAGTGTCTCTTCAAGATACTGTGTATCTCTTCAAGATACATGTGTATCTTGAACCATCTTTGCTGACAATTTCAGAAGCAAATGCCATGGATTTCGTAATGAGTATGGATTGCTTACAGGTTCCTTACAATTTTCTTCTAGGAAATCAACCAACTGACTTTTAAGCTCAACACTAATAATCTATCACAAAGCCAAGATGTAAGAAAGAACATACTGACCGTGTTCTTCAAAGCAATCCTGGAAATGAGACTCTTGTGCTGAAATTCATCACTACAGTCAACCTTCCTGCCTAACCGCTGTCTCTCCAGCACACAACAAGCAATCCTAAGCAAGTGTCTTCAAGGGTGGCCAGACTCTCATCTGGAGAATCAATCTAACTATAATTATATATATATATTCTCTCGAACTGGAGCATCTCCCCACCCATCTTTTGGAGCTGATGAAACTCCAGTGGTGTATGGCCGCTGCTTATGCTGGCGAGAAGTTGGAAGGATGTTTGGAAAACATTTCAATTAGTGTTTTTCAAGCTCAGCAGCTTTAAGATGGGTGGACTTCAACTCCCAGAATTCCCCAGCCAGCCGTACTGGCTGGGGAATTCTGGGAGGTGAAGTCCATGCGTCTTAAGTTGCAATGTTGGAGAAACACCGATCTAAACCAATTCCAATAGATAAAGGAGAATACTCTTGTTATATCCATCAGATGTGAGAACTTTCCTTCTCAAAGTTACCTCTCTAAAAAAGGAGGAAGAAAAACTCCAGAAACTCAGCCAGACTCTTCCCACAGCTGTGGCCACCCTCTGCCCTGTGGAGGAGTCATCTAATAATGTCTTTATTTTTAAATCACATCGAGGGCGTTTTTGATTTCAAATGGTGAACTGAGTTTAGGTGCTTCTCTTGAGAAGCAGGACAGAAATGATGCTCACAAGTAGATCTGCACAATCTCAGAATTCATGAGTTTCATCATGCACAACATGTCATCCTCAGGCAGAGGTTTCAACGGCTGCAGGGCAGCAGAGGTTCAACAGGTGCAGCCCAGCTGTGGGAAGTGGGCCCCACCAGCATGGAAGATGAGGCAAGGTCTCTTGTCAAATGTGGTTGGAATCCAGGATCTTCGGAGAGTTTTTTTTTCCCTGTAAAGTAGGTTGTCTTTTTCCAGAATATTTTTCAATCCAGACTCTAAACTTTGCAAAGGTCCATAAAGTGGCTTTCCCAGTAGTAATGTACAGCTGTGAGAGTTGAACCATAAGGAAAGCGGAGCACTGAAGAACTGATGCTTTCAAATGGTGGTGCTGGAGAAGACTCTTGAGAGTCCCTTGGACCACAAGGAGATAAAATCAGTCAATCCTAAAGGAAATCAACCCTGGCTGTTCTTTGGGAGGACCAATACTGAAGCTGAAGCTCAAATACTTTGGCCACCAAAGGAGAAGTCTCCTTGGAAAAGACCTAATGTTGGGAAAGATGGAAGGCAAAAGGAGAAGGATGAGGATGAGACGGTTAGATAGCGTCATTGACACAACGAATATGAATTTGGGAAACTCAGAGAGACAGTGGAGCACAGGTGTAGCCTTGCATTCCATCATCCATGAAGTCACGGAGTTGGACACAACTTAGCAACTGAACAACAAAAACCTCGGTTCTTCTGGTGGTCTCCTTTCCAATTTGGGTGGGGTTTCTTTTCAAGACTTTCAAGTCAAAGTTGGCCACTGCTGACATGGTTGAGGAACACTTTCCCCCAAGACATGAAAGAGATTGACCTAATTGGGTTTCTAGAGCTGGTTCAAGAACCCAAGTCTTCTCCTTACTTCACAAATACCCTTGGAAGAAGTTCAGTTGGAGAAGGTTGGGATTGGTCCCAGAGCTGTCCGGACTCCTTGAACAATTCCTCCATCCCTACTCAAGAGAGGGCAGGGTCGGCAACTGTCCCCCACCAGAAAGATGCAAAGTTAGAGGAAAACCGCCCCACCAGTAGCTTTTTTTCAAGACCCTCAAGTCAAAGTTGGCCATATGCTGTTGAGAAACACTTTCCCCAACCCTTGAAAGCGAATGACCTGTAATTGGGTTTCTGGAGCTGGTTCAAGAACCCAAGTCTTCTCCTTAGTTCACAAATACCCTTGGAGAAGGTTGGGAGTGGTCCCGGAGCTGTCCGGACCCTTTGAACAATTCCCCCATCCCTACTCAAGAGAGGGCAGGGTCGGCAACTGTAGCCTCCCCCCCCCACCCGAAAGATGCAAAGTTAAAGGAAAACCGCTGCACCCCACCAGCTTCGGGCCCCACTTGTAAGCCCAGGGGCACCCCCCACAAGCTTTCCTCCCCCCCCCCCGTGACTTCCCCAGCGCGCCCCTACCGGCACCATGGAGTAAGTCATCAGCATGAGCATGTCCTCGCTCTCCGCTCGGCGGTGACCCTTGGCGAGGCCGCGCCGCCGCTGCTGGCTCCGCTTGGCCCGGCCAGCCGCCGGGACGGCGCCGTCGGCTGGGG